TTTTTTTTTTTTTTTTGGTTTAGAAATTAGTGTGCTGTAAGATTACAGCATGCCTCTGGTATTTAAAAAAAAGTGTATTATTTGCACAGCTCATACACCCATTTACGTGTAATATAACTGAATTATGAATCCACAATGACAGTGTTTTAAAACCACGGGTGTCTCCAATTCGAATAGTGTGTCTTAGAATTTTATTCCTCCAGTGGGGAATAACATTTTACTGCTAAAGTTAAGGTAGTAAACAGTCAGTACTCGTTCAGATTCTTTTGACAGCATCGTCACTTGGCGAAAGGGTTGTTAGAGTTCACCCAAGCCATTCATCGCCCCTCATTTTTCTCTTTTATCATCCCTTTGACGAGGATTAACTCAGGGCCCGTTTCTGTTCCTCCTGAAGAAAAGCTTGTTTCTCCATCAGTTTTCGGAACAGTCCCTGTCTGTTTCCCAGCAGCTCTGTGTGCTGGCCGCATTCAGCCACACGATGCTGGTCCAGAACCGCGACGGCATTGGCGTTCTGGATGGTGGAGAGGCGGTGAGCGATAATGACGACCGTTCTCCCTGTGGATGGGAAGGAAATATGGAAGAAGTCAAAAAGAGTTCTACATTAAATCCTTCCCATTCTTTACTAAGTCAGGACAGGAATTTCACATTTGAAAAATCACTAACAGTAAAATCAGTAACAGCCCAACGCTAATGAGGTGTCTGTCCTCGCCAGTTTACTCATACAATATGATCAACAACTAAAGCAGCTGATCAGGGGTCATCAATGGAACAGCAGAAAAACTACAGTACGTTGTGCATGTTTTATTTTGAAACATTTGTTTTAAGGTCAAATGACAAAATATCAAATATAATAAAAATATAAAATAGAATAATATAGAGACAGAAAAGGCATCCACCTTCCATGAGCCGCTCCAAAGCCTCCTGCACCAGGAACTCGTTCTCGGCATCCAGTGCACTGAGAATGGGACATTATACAACTAGTAAATGCAACAAAGGAATAGAGAATAAAATAATCCATTCAAGCCAATTGTATGGCAAATAATATGTCACAACAGGCTGTCCTTATGGCGTCGTACCTGGTGGCCTCATCCAAAAGCAGGATCTTGGGATTCTGATGAAGAAAAAGTACAAGTTGAATGGGCAGAGCTTTAAGATTCCACCCATAAATGTTGACACCAAAGCACTTTTTACAGAAAAGCACTACCGTAGTTTAATGTCAGGAGGAACGATTCTGCAACATATTCGTTGCTTTTGTGAGGTTGATCAATGCATGCAAATTTAGAATGGTTAGCCAGAAAACAATTAAGGCGCTTCACCGACCTTCAGAAGAGCTCTTGCAATTGCTATCCTCTGCTTCTGACCACCTGGGACACAAACACAAAATCGTCATTCACCCAAGAGGAAGGAGATTTCCTCACATTCTGTTTCTATTAAACTATAGTGCAGTTTGCATGTAGGTGAAAGGCCACCAATTTGTGATCTTAGAAAACCAATATGGAGTGTGGACATCATTTTTCACATTTCAATGTGTTGATGGGTGCAAGCAAAATTAGCATTGTAGTCCCCAACCTGCTGGAGAA